CAACCACTGATGTAGTCTCTCTTTTTGTTCATTTTCTTTCTCCTCCAACTACTGCTGTAGTCTCTCTTCTTGTTTCTTTTCTATTTTCTTTCTCCTCCAACTACTGCTGTAGTCTCTCTTCTTGTTTATTTTCTTTCTCCTCCATCCACTGCTGTAGTCTCTCTTTTTGTTCATTTTCTTTCTCCTTCAACCACTGCTGTAGTCTCTTTTCTTGTTTCTTTTCTTGTTATTCTTGTTTCTTTTCTTTTTCCTCCAACAACTGCTGTAATCTCTCTTGTTTATTTTGCTGTTCGAGCTGCCACTGTTGCAGGTTTTCTTGCAACTGCTGTTGTCTCTCTTCTTGTTTCTTTTCTTTTTCCTCCAACAACTGCTGTAATCTCTCTTCTTGTTTCTTTTGCTGTTCTTGTATTGCTGCCATCAAACCTGCTAAGCTGTAGTTTGATTTGCCATCTCTCGTTTCCATTTTCTTTTCTTTTTTCCGTCCCACTCTCTGACACCAATTTGTTATGTCTCGTTGGTTAATTTCCCGTAGAAATTATCCCCGTGAAACTTCAGCGATATAAGTTATTTCTTAAATAAAACAAGTTTATTCTTTCTCTATACAACTTTGCAATACACTTACTTTTCACAGTCACTTTAAGTTAAACACACGCTAGAATTCACAACGATTCACGTACTTTACTTACGGCTTGACTCGATTATCTGTCTCTATATCTCTCTGTCTGCAATACAATTATTGCCGTCATTTTATTTGCCGGCTTATATACTAAAATAGAGGGCATCTAGCAAATACTGGATTATTCGTGAAGTTCCCCGATCCTTGTAGAAACTCATCACGTGTTACCAGAGTCACGTGACTTGCGCTGTCGTAACAATACTGACACATTTGATCTGAAGAAGGCCTCAGTATAGAAGCCAAAACGTCGACCTACTCTAAAAACAGGCAGGAATAGTACAGTTAAGCCAAATCTCTACTACGTTTACATTACCTATAATACCCATGAAACATCACCTTTCTTTATTCTCTAGCTTTACTGTGCGTTGAATTTCATTAGTACCAATCTTATATCAGCTATCATACAGAAAAGCCTTATCTATATCTTGGCTCTTCTTGTTTCCTCTACACTTAGAGTTTTGTGGTTGTCAATAATGAAAGTTAAGTAACATTTTTAATTCTGGAAGTCTGTTACAATTGCACTTTGTTTTTATGTTCCGTGTTTTAGCAAGTCAGATTTAAATTGTAAATTTCTGAGTTAAAAGTTAGTGCTCTGTTAGAATACATATGATGAAATAAAGATTGTTTATTGTTCATTCTCATATTGTTATATATACACGACTGTTTCCATTTAAATTTAATGCGAGAGTTATGATTTAGATAGTTATATAGCGTGAGTGTTAAATTTAGTTATTTTTAGAAGTGATAATTTATCGCAGGTTTGTTTACGTAACTGCTTATGAATCATATGTTCTGTAGTTCAATAGTTATGAATTGGTGATTTTTATATTATTGCGTAATGTTACTAGAACCTTCTGAGTTTTTCTCGTTGTTTTAATTTAGTATTATTGCATCATAATATCTCGTAGTGTATGAAACGTTCTAGGCTACTGTTGGGGTATAAATATGCGTTGAAATTTAATTCGATATTGTTAGATATAGATTGCGAGTTTAGCTATAAAGAATGTATAGTGGCGATTTCTAAAGTGAAAGTATCACAGACTGTATTATAATAACATAGTAGAGAAGAAATAATTTGTCTTGTCAATTGTGTTCTAAAGTAATTGTACCAACTTGTGTGGACAAAAAAAGAGACAATTATTTAAAGCTCTGGATACACCTGTGATAATCAACAGTGTAAAGAACATTTGTATATACGTTTGACTTGTTTTAATATATTATTTTAAAACAAGTGGACTGTGTGCTGCTCGTTTATTGCTGAAATTTATCGCCAACAATTCACAGACACTTACTATAAAGAATCCGGCCCATACATAAAAACCTGACATATATCTTGGCATTTATGTTGTTTATTTGGTACATGTATTTATATCAATATTACTCAGTTATATTGACAAACTCCTTCCCAAAAATGTGTTCTACAATCAGCTCTCTGATGATAAATTAAATCCTGCATTTCTCTATTACCGTGGTTAAGATATATCTGTTGTCACTTGTATAAACAATAATTCTATAAAATAAGTTAAAGACTAGGATTTGATTGTTCAGGATTTGACTGGTTTATTGCTTTCCCGTGAACTGTTCAATGAATTTTTGTTTTTGACTGTTTCTCTTCTCAGTTTATTTATAGTAAGCCACTGTGCCTGAGTGTGTTTACTTCCAGCAGCATGCTGATTGTGATCTAAGGAACTGACACCATAAAGGAGATCTGTTAGATGTGAAGTGTTTCTCCTCACTGTTACAACCTCTCAACGACTTATTCTCTGTCTGTTAGCTGCTAGCTGACTATCAGGGACTTCTCTAGTCCCCAAACCAACTGTGCTAATCATAGTCCCAGTGTGAAGTGATTACAACATTGAAACGCCGAAGTTGGACTGCCAAAGCAGACAAAGGATATTAGCCCTAGAGAGCCCAGTTTGGTTGATCTTTCCACAGAGTTATTACTGACATATGTAGCATTCATGATGGGCTGAGCAGGATGGAGGACAGATTGTGAGTGATTGAGAGCTTTTTGAACATGGCATAGAAAGGGAGGCAGTGGCAGGTACAACAATGATTTTATTTTTAGTTTTGTACGAGATTTGAGTTGTTTTTTGCTAGTTGCATTATTTTCATTTTGTCAAAATGAAATATTTTTTATCTTCCCATTATTGTGAGACTTAGTGCTCACCTGTTGATTCCAGTTTGCCTAAGAATACCACGAAGGCAAACTTTAAACTAGTAGACCTTGAATCGGATATACAAGTGACTTGGAAAGAAGGCACAACTTGTGTGACTTAGTTGATAAAGTGTTCTGTTTGACCACAACATTTCCAAACCAATTTGGTATATCCACATACACAAATGTGAATATTAGAGCTGCCAGAGTTCTCTCCTCAATCTTGCTGCTTATCATACATTACGACATAACCCTATATTGACACTGATAAATGCAGGCTTTCATCTTAACAATGTAGAGAAGCTTGAGATGATGTGAGAGAGACATATCTAAAGTTCTACATTGGTATGCTCTTCGAATAACTGGAAGTAGTGATTATAGACAGTGGTTCTGGGGCTGGTATACTTGGAATGAATGTGTTTCAGAGTTAGAGCACAATCTTAACCTGTAGGATAGGTGAGTTGTGACTTTTTATATTGGTCGTTTACTGTTGACTATCCCAGACACCGCATTAGTAGATAGAATTGGAATATTAATCTATATAATGATGTAATATTTCTTCTTCATATTTAAGTTAAACACCCAGGAAGGCTGAACGTGTTCATGCATGGATCTGCTGCAACCATGGAACACGTGCTACACACAAAGTGTTCCCTAACCATATTTGGTGCAGTAATGCATTGGTCTTTGTGTGAGAAAAGTACCTTAACTGATATATATATGTGGTCATAACAGCAAATCTTTGAATATATATCCCATGAAATGTGAAAGAGAAGTTTTAGAATCTAAAATCTTTATATATATATATATACTGAATCATGAAATGTCACTAAACTCCTGGAGCAATTAAAGTATTTAGTGGAAACCTCTCAGGTTGATCTGGATGTTGAACAATTTATGAAACTTTGAATCTCTCTAACGTGTAACATCTCCCGCGATTTATTGGGGGAGGTATGGATTAGGCCATTGTCTCATTAGATCAAGACAAATAAAATATATATTCAGGATTGAGTCTTTTTCCATTCTATACATATTTCTAGGGAAAGTGAAGTATCAAGAGGGAGAGTTTTCATGAATAATAAATGTTTTTATTATTTATAACCACAATACAGTTATAAGTGAACCTTTAATATGGATTTACAGGGTAATTATACAATAATTATTACTTTAAATCCTTCGTATGTATGCCTACATATCGCTATATAGAAATAATATTAAAAAGAAGAACACTTAAAGACCTTTAGGATCATTTGAGCTAGAGGTAATTCCTGTAGTGGAAGTATAAACACGTTGCAAGACTTGCTCTTCTGCTACTTGTGAACTAACGAATCTCTAACTGCACTGTTCTGAGTAACAGTTTATAAATTATACATTTTGTGGGTCACTTAAAGCTTACTATACATACTCACTACTCTTTTGGCCTCAATTAAGATATATTCAATTAGAAATGAAGTAAGAATGACTTTGTATGAAACAGAATGTTTGGATAACTTGAGCATTGAGAGTAAATCACAAATGATTTTTATAGCCTTCCACTGTTCTGTGTGTTTATAATTAATATGATATCCTTCTCACTGATAATTTTAAGTGATGTTTATAATCATAGCCTCAGCTATGTGAGTACATATCCCTCGGAATATGTGATAACAAAGCAGGATTCGCAGAAGGATATGAGTTCACTATCAGCAAAGCCAGCTGTTACGTATATAAAGTCTCTTCAAGTCATAGCAGTCACATTATATAGGTTGCTTGATTGATAAAATTACGTCACGTTGGTCTCTTAATTGGTACAAGATAATAATGTCCAAGGTTTTTATCCTGCTTTGTTGCCTAGGTAAACATACATGCTTAACACATCTTATCATTTGTACCACACCCAATATAAGCCAAATACCAGCCTTAAAAGAGCATTTAGTACTGTTTCATATCTATTTTATTTATTTAAATAACTTATACCTTAAATAAATTTTTCACTCTTACCAGTTTTTCTTGAAAATGTTTGATACCATTCGAAAAGTTTACCATAATGTGTATATATATATATACTCTTGCTTGGTTAATGGTGTTTATGTTCTTTCCGTTAAACTATATTATGTTGAATACACTACAGTACCTCGACATATACCATTTATGTATTTAGCACTAATATTAGAAATACTTCAATACACGTTAATGTGCAATACTAATAACGTTTGACACATACACTTATTAATAACGTTGACACAAACCATAAATAATAATTAAATACTGAAGCCAGTATCATTTCCATAACCACTGTAATTGAAATCGGAATGCTAAATGTTCGTTAAGTTAATTTTTACACATGTACGGAAATCTTTGCACTAATTATATCATTGAAGTTTTTTACTATGTTGGATTTTCCCCACATTTTACAGTGCACTTCTCTCCTTTTTGGAACTCTGTGACATAACTTAATATTTCTGCTATACAGCCCATAGGTTTAATGGACGTACAGTGGGATGCAATTCACAAGAGTGCAAATCATTATCGCTCTCGTTACGTTTTAACAACACTTGTGGTCGTAGATAATTAACTGGATACTCTCGTGGTTCTACTGGATGTCTGTAATTCTCAGAATATTTCATCTCCATCTGAATGGTTTGCTAAGTTTTTTAGTTAAGATGTATTACAATTTATTGTGAAGGGTTGGGAAATCCTGCTTGTTGCATGTAAATACTCTACTGTTTTGACTAACGTAAAACATGAGTTGTTCTTGTTAAAATGAAACCCTGTTTGTTATTTTGAATGATTAAACAATAATTTCTTCTGCTTCTTGGATAATGGTAGATCTTGGAATCATAAGATACAGTAGTAGACTTTATACGGGTGTGTTTTTTGTTTAGTAATTTAACCATAGCTGTTTTGCCTTGTAAGACAACACCTTCAATCTACATAAAAGTCAAGTTTTTGCTGTGAGTGAAAGATGAAATAACTTACTTTGTTGAATTTCGTTGTTTACTTTGTTCAGAACAATTTAACTCCAAAACACTCCTCTCAGCTACATTTTTTAGGGAAGATTATTTAAATTTTTCATAGCTTTTTTCTGCATATCTCTGTTTTGTATATTTGCAGTTTGAATATCGGTTATTTGCACTGTATATGTTTTGCTCACTGGTTTGCTATTTACTGGTAAGTGTGCTGTAGATTGCTTACTTAGTACATAGGATAACCATGTACTCCCTGTTTTCTAACTCTCTTAATTATCTTCAAGTGTTCAGTTTCTACATAGATGCTATATTCACGTACACTCACATCCTACAATTAAAGATATAACTATCCAAAGTCGACAGCGGATTCAGGAAACGTTTTGGAAATAATAAAACTAACACAGACGACAAAGGAATGAAGACAGTTTTTATTTCGTATACACAAACACTAAGAAATGCTGTGTTTTGTTGCTGGTCAGCTTCTTAGCTTGTTTGGAATGACTGAATAAAAATATGACTACACGAAACTATTAAGTTAGACAAACTTCTAATGGGGTATCACACAATCTAAGACTATTCAAATCAATAACCATCCCTATTCAACATATTCGAGAGAAATAAAATAGGCACACACTAATTTATAGAAATTTCTATACTTCCAATCAACTAAAAAAAAAGAAAAAAGATCCACTACCCAGTGGAGCATTGCTAGTGTGATATGTAACCTTAGACTAGAAAAGAATGTTGGTGCAATCTTGCAACCTTTCACGTCATGTTTATGTTTCTTTGTTCTAGCAAAGTTACATTAAAATATCTACTGTCCTCACCATGGGGAATCAAACCCCGGATTTTTAGTGTTGTAAGTCCGTCGATTTACCGCTGTCCCATCGGGGGGCGCGTCATATTTATGAGACCATCAAGTAACTAAGTGCAGAACACATGCACAAAAATAAAACCACGAAATGCGTAAGTATAAAACCACAAAATAAATGAAAACTGAAATTAAACAAAACCGGACATGAAGAAAAAAAAACTGAATAAAACCAGACATATATTAATTTACAATAAACACAAATGAGTACAAAATAAAACAGGATGAAAATTAAAACTTAGTAATTCACAATAAAATAAATCTATGCTCCGGTGGGTCAGAAGTAATGTACGAAATTACAATGCTAAAGTTAGGGGTTTGATTCCTCGCAGTAAACATAGTGCAGATAGCCCATTGTGTAGTTGTACGTGAAGAAAACAACAGCTATCACAATGCTGAACAAAATAAGGGATACTATTTCTCCTTTCGAAGGCAGCCTGTATTATATTTTATTGTTTTAATATCATGATGAAATAAATATTTTTTTTTTCGATTAGAATGCGAAAGTCGTCAAAATCGTTAAATTGCGAGGACTTGATAAGAGAGAGATAACCGACTAACGTTTTTTATTGATCATTTAAGTAGCTTTACACACAAAAACAACAACCACATAAATTACACCGAGGACAAAATTGAAATTTACTGAAAATACAAAATGAAATGCAGCCTGTTAGTATTTAAATTTATTTATGGTATTCTCCAGTTCTCTGAATCCAAAACTCTAATAGTACAATTCTTCTAACCCTAATATCCCATCTCAAGAAAGCTCCAACAATTCTTCTTCTTCTTTCATAGAGAAACAAGTAAGATGTAATGTATGTACTATCCCAGCACGATGTAATGTATGTGCTGTCCCAGCAGGATGTAATGTATGTGCTCTCCCAGCAGGATGTAATGTATGTGCCATTCCAGCAGGATGTAATGTATGTACTGTCCCAGCAGGATGTAATGTATGTGCTCTCCCAGCAGGATGTAATGTATGTACTGTCCCAGCAGGATGTAATGTATGTGCTCTCCCAGCAGGATGTAATGTATGTACTGTCCCAGCAGGATGTAATGTATGTGCTCTCCCAGCAGGATGTAATGTATGTACTGTCCCAGCAGGATGTAATATATGTGCCATCCCAGCAGGATATAATGTATGTGCTCTCCCAGCAGGATGTAATGTATGTGCTCTCCCAGCAGAATGTAATGTATGTGCTCTCCCAGCACGATGTAATGTATGTGCCATTGCAGCAGGATATAATGTATGTGCCATCCCAGCGGGATGTAATGTATGTACTGTCCCAGCAGGATGTAATGTATGTGATCTCCCAGTAGGATGTAATGTATGTGCTCTCCCAGCAGGATGTAATATATGTGCCATCCCAGCAGGATATAATGTATGTGCTCTCCCAGCAGGATGTAATGTATGTCCTGTCCCAGCAGAATGTAATGTATGTGCTCTCCCAGCACGATGTAATGTATGTGCCATTGCAGCAGGATATAATGTATGTGCCATCCCAGCGGGATGTAATGTATGTACTGTCCAAGCAGGATGTAATGTATGTGCCATCCCAGCGGGATGTAATGCATGTGCCATCCCAGCAGGATGTAATGTATGTGTCATTCTTTACAGTAGAAATGGTAAATGCACTCGTTCCTTTACTACCAGAATACACTTGACAAAGCATCTGTGAATGTTCAATCCATATGGCTTCTATGAATCAGTGCACATTAAATTACATTAACTAAATATATTGACTGTGTTGGATCCTGGCAACAAGCTTGCCAGTCAATAGGAGCAGCCATTTCGTGTACATGTGAGTTTCTTCCACCAGCTACAGATCTAATGGGACTAAAATTGAAATCTAGTACATTAAATCAGTTACTGGTCATATACCTTAGAAACTGTAACCAATGCTTGAAGGTTTGTAGCTAGTTTGTTTAGTGGCACAACGGTAAGCCCGAAGGCTTATAACGCTAAAAATTGTGTTTTGATATCCGTGTCAGGCACATCCAAGATAGCTCATTGTGTAGTTTCGTGCTTAAGAACAAACAAATATTAACTTGCTTTCTGACAATAAATAACTAAAATCGTTGACAAGTTTACAATTAAATTCACTGCTATATTTTATAGCCAACATGAATCTTACCTTATCATACTACAAATAATTGTACTTAACACTAGTTTCGTGTATAACAATTACTTTGTTCATAAATAATACCGAGTTCAAAAATAATATAAATTTAAAATTAAATATATTTTTAAATCCAAATTACCAGATAGCCATAGATACACCATATTTCATTTCATTCTAAATGTTTGTTTGTGATTAAGCACAAAGCTACACACCACGGGTATCGAGACCCGGTTTCTAGCGTTGTAAGTCCGAAGACATACGGTGTGCCACCGGGGGGGGGGGGGAGGAGTCATTCAAGTGAACAATTCGTTATGATTTCTTTTTATAAAGGCAAAGTCAGAAAATCTATGACTGCAAAAGATGCAAGCATTATTCTTTTCTTGCCTTCTGTGCGATACTCGCCGCATATTAGGAGTCCAACTAATGTTGCCTCATGTGAAATTCAGAGGGAGTAGACTTTTAATGCCACATTATATAATTCGAGTTGTGTTCGTATCTTATCATTGTCATGGATTTGATGGAAAAAAACATAAGTGCCAGTTGCTGAGAGGGATCCCGAGTCTTTATTGAAAGTATGAGAAATCAAAGCCGCGGTTCAGCCGGAGTATGTTGATCCCAATCGTCCACAGACTCTTTGCCTCAAACTATTGTCTCCATACATTCATCGTTCTCTTCAAGTATCAGTTCCATACTTCACGGAGACCAGTTTCAGTTCTATACTTCACGGGAACCAGCATCAGTTCTATTCTTCAAGGGGGACTAGTTTCAATTCTATACTTCATGGGAACCAGTTTCAGTTCTATGTTTCACGGTAACCAGTTTCAGTTCTATACTTCACGAGGACAAGTTTCAGTTCTATACTTCACGGGAACCAGCATCAGTTCTATACTTCCCGGGGATCAGCATCAGTTCTATACTTCACGAGGATCAGTTTCAGTTGTATACTTCACGGGAACCAGCATCAGTTCTATTCTTCAAGGGGGACCAGTTTCAATTCTATACTTCATGGGGACCAGTTTCAGTTCTATACTTCACGGGGACCAGTATCATTTCTATATTTCACTGGTACAGTTTCAGTTCTATACTTCCCGGGGATCAGCATCAGTTCTATACTTCACGAGTATCAGTTTCAGTTGTATACTTCACGGGGACCAGTTTCAGTTCTATACTTCATGGGGACCAGTTTAAAAACACGTTTTCTCTACATATGCTGTTTTAAAGCACAACCTTGAGGCAAATTACTATTAAAGTGACTTGTACAATATAGTTTTAGTAGTATATTAACAATGTTTACTCATTTGTTGTTTAGTGCAAAGCTACACAATGGGCTATATGTGCTCTGCTAGCCGCTGGTATCGAACCCCCGATTTTTGCGTTATAAGCTCTCAGACTTGCTGCTAAGCTATCGGGAGGAGGAGCAGTAAATTAAAAACAACGGTTTGTTTGTTAATTTACTACTGTGTTAAAATAATGCGCTTTCTTACATAAGTAACATTATTCTTAGGACAATATCTTTAGTATTACCTACAAAAGTCGAAACAATATATTCATTGCATTTTATTATAAATATGTTTTGTTTTTGTGACGCGATGGCCCTTAACACGTTCGCTGCCATGTGCCCCACCTATGGGTCACAACCGACTTTTTGTTAGGGACCGCGTGACACACCGGTGGGTCACATATTACAAGTGGCTAATATTACAAACGTGTGGTTAACACGAGGGAGGGAATTTTTAAAACTAGTGGTGGAAGTGAACGTGTTAATGATGGTGCATCATTGCTCCTCATGATCATCAGCTTTGTAGTATTACTTCAGTCTTCAGTGCATCTGTGTTGCTTCTAATATTTGATTTTCTTAAGGTGTATTTTGAATACTTAATAACATCAATAAAGTGAAATGATATTCAGTGTGTTATATGGTTCATTTCAAGAGTAAGTAAAGTTTAATCACCGTAATAATGTTAAATGATAGAAGAATCCATAAGATGTTGGAAGGTTATGACAATCACGATAAGGGTTGTAATGACGCAGCGCCAAGTCAAAATAAAAGAATACTTTATAGTTTGTTTGCTTGTTTTCGGATATTCGCGCAAGGCTATTCAGGAGTTATCTGCGCAAGCCCGTCTCCGATTTTAAGTTGATAGCCCAGAAGAGAGGCAGTTAGTCAACAGCACCCACCGCCAATTCTTGTCTGACAGAACAGTGGGATTTGACGTAACTGGAAGGAGCATGACGTCATTGTATCGTAAGCTAAACCGCCTCCATCTTACTGGATTACAGAAGTAAGAGTTAGAAATAAGCTGACACAACGTTATACTGAATGGACCAAGTAGAAAATGAAGGCAAATCTCGCAGACTTTAGGCTCCTCAGTTGTAGATACACTATTATTCTGCAAATATTTTAAACTAGATTTCGAAGGTGGTGTTGCTAATAATTTCCAGTATAAGCGTATTGTTTAGTATTAAGGATTCAGTTTATTTTTTTAGAAATTGAAAGACAAATAACAGCGTTGTTGTGAAACAAGAACTGTACATAAGAAACAAAATCGTTGAAAATTCGAAAACTCAGTACAAAACTTGCTACCCGGAAGCTCACTCTTCAATTATTAGCAGGTTATCCTTCAAATCGACAATTCCAATTGCCGATTAGGCCTACTTGCTGTGTACTTTGTCTACATAAGTTGATTTTAATAAGCAATCTTATCGGACAGTCGTTCTCACTTAGAAGCTTATAACCGAGTGATACGTGAATGTACAGTAGCCTAAAAGAGTATTCGAAACTGGTATAGAAACTCTCCAACTTAACTATTCAGAGACTTTCTCATTTATAATTTCTTAAGTTTGAATTCTATAACACTTCCGAATGGATTATCTTTTTCTTGCTTAAATGAGATTAAAAAACAAATTACATGTTTGCATCATCCAACTATAATAGACTTCTAAACGAATCTTGTAAAATATATTTACAAATAATAACTCATATACGATATCTTTTAAAATATCTAACTAAAACAAAAACTAGTTTTTTTTTTTTTAGTTTGACTTGTTCGTTTGCAATTTCAAAAAGTCTTAGTATAAAATGATAAAAACCCTATAACCCCAGCGCTTTCGAAAGCGCTCGGGTTATAGGGTTTCTAATGTTCACAATTTATTTTACAAAGCAGAGGAGCAAGTAGTACGAATTTGAACGTAAAAATATTAATTAGAATAATTACAATTTGCATAGGCAAATTTCATATAAATGCATATCGAATGTTCATGAATATATATTTATGCTGGGTGAATGAACCACTTTAAGTGCACTTCCTCTTAGACAAATTTATTTAGCATATATATTTCACTACTAAAATGTTAATTCACAAAGCAGGGTTTATAGAAAATAAAGTTGACAAAACTCCTTCTTTTCATACAACACCTTTCCTGTAAATATTATGTTAAATTATAATAGCAGTCAGTATGTCGCATGCTATTTTATTTCGAACGTAGTATCGCTATTTAAACTTGGATTTGGGGGAAAGTGTCAGTCATGGGACAAGACGTGAATGACAGAATGTTGCGCAATATAGAGAAGGATTTTTTTTTTTTATCCTTACCATGAAAGGAATAGTTTGTTCAATTCATGAAGAATATGCGAGCCTTCCACCACTGGAGTGTTCAGGAATATGAATTTCCCTTCGCCCGAGAGAGGCCGTGTCGCCAAGACCAGATTAAGGTTTAGCGAAGCCATAGGCTTGTTCGTTTGTTTTGAATTGCGCGCAAAGCTACACGAGGGCTATCTGCACTAGCCGTCCCTAATTTAGCAGTGTAAGACTAGAGGGAAGGCAGCTAGTCATCACCACCCACCGCCAACTTTTGGGCTACTCTTTTACCAACGAATAGTGGGATTGACCGTCACATTATAACGCCCCCACGGCTGAAAGGGCGAGCATGTTTGGTGTGACCGGGATTCGAACCCGCGACCCTCAGATTGCGAGTCGAGCGCCTTAACCACCTGGCCATGCCGGGCCGAAGAAGCCATAGGCTCAGGTAATGTTTTCGCAATAATAATAACTAACTCTTGCCTCTATTCTGCTAGTTTTACGAACCATAATTTGTTTTTACTTGGGTGACCGGCGGGGCCCTAGGTAGCCTATGCGTTAATCCAGTACTGCGTTAAGCAGTGTTGATTTTAACCCACAGATAGAAAAAAAAAGATGTAAAATTGAAATCCAAAAATTCAAAATAATAAAAACAAAAACGGTAAAAAAGAAGCTAATTTATAAAATAATATGTGTGACTGAAAAACTGACGCAGAAATTTGAGTTATCTAAACGTTTATTCCTATGCCGTTAACTAGCATCTCCATCTTTTTACACTGTTGACAAGGAAATAAAATGGAACAGTTGCAACTAACACTTCGTCATATGTTCCAGAGTAGATATAGATACGCTAGGACTTAGAACAATATCTAAAAAACAACATAAAACTATCGAACATTCCTGCAATAAAGCTATGTTTTAAAACTTTTTTCAACGATACAAAAGATCAATTATTTAAATAGCTTAATCTAATTTTACTAAATTATTACATATTTAACTTTTTTTAAAGTTTACATTCAGAATCAAAAAGTAAATCTCACACTAGCATAAGAACAAGTTGTCATTAATAAAGACAAAATTTACCAATTTTTCAAGAGATTTATTTCACCTTAGATATAATTTCATTCATATATTTGACGCAAAACGCAATGGCTGTTAATTAATCTCTATCTATTCATATATGTAGCATTATTTTATAAGTTTCAATAATAATGCATTCTGAAGTCTTAAATCGAAAAAGTTTATTTAGCAAGAGTGCATGCATATACATTTAGTGCGTGTCTTTAACAAATTTAAAAGTAACATAACATTTACATGTTTAGACACTTCTTCTAATCAAAAACAGTTCAGAACATAAAAATATTATAATTAATATTTCAAAAAATCACCTTCTCATTTATCTTATTTCGTTGCAATACCTGTTATTTGGATCTTCAACAATCGCACATTTTGCACCTACAGAAAAGTTTTCTAATACTGTTTTCTGTATAGTGAACTGAATGAGGGAAGTAACGAAAGAATCATTTGTCTTTGCGTTATTTTTAACACCAGCTGTTTGTATATCGTCTAATATACAGAGTTGGAGTCAATATATAGAATCTGTCAGTTGGAGAAATAATGTAAGTGAATCTGTACAGAAAATGCGAATGTAAAGATATTGGTTCTAAAAAGCTTCCTTGAATATATATATATATCCTAGAGAAAGCAGATTATTAATTGGGCAAACTTTCCCTACTGAAATTATTCACCAAACCTACACTACGTTTTACGTATTATTAGATAGATCAAGCTTTGTACCATATATATATATAGACATACATACACACACGCGTGTATGTGCATTCTAAACACTAATTTTCCTAACAGACACTTTACAACGGCATATTGCTGGTAACATCGTGCTGCTATTGAAAAAGGAACGAACAGACGATAGTACACGAAAAGATATGTTGGTGACCTTTGAACTATCACGTTACCCTTTAAGTTTAACATTAACTTATTTATTAAACCTGTTTATATACAAACTAACTGTACAAGTAACATCAATTACTGCCATCCTATACACCCCTTAGTAATAAGGCTCTTGTGGTTTTTCTTCGTTATCAAGGCAAATTTACCTAGTAATTATTCTGAAGTGAGATCGCCACTCAAAAGCTTCACATTACACTATACGGTGGATACAGTTCACTATCTACAGGTTTGCCAAGTTGAGAACTGAAATAAAAATACCTTTTTAACTATGTACAGATAGTCAGTCCTCAGTGGTCTTTCTTTACGTACATACAGAAACACAAAACTCACAAACAACATCTACAAAACTTCTTCACAGCTGAAAATATTAGTTTTATAAATCAAAACCCTGTATTTTTACCCTTCTTATTTAGGCTCTACAGCTTCTACTAAAAATTGGTTCATTACTAATATGTTTCAGGTTGTAAAGATCACAGCGATATACAACATGGTTTGTATTTTCATAACCAACTTTTAAAGAACAACGACAAATAAAAAGTTAATTCAAGTTAACCTTCAATCATGTACCATAAATTTGAATGTTGTTTACAAACTCTTTGCTTATACATTTACATGTATATTCAGCATTACTTACTCATAAATTATAAAATAATTGATAATAATAATTATTACTCATTCTCCATGTGAGTCTGGCTTTACCTTTTACATAAGGGTTATTTTAACTACAGAAACATTTTCTGGGAAGAGGAATGTCAAAACAAAGATATTTATGTGTATATATCCTGGAATCTGACATGAACGAACTCAAGAACTTATTAACTGAAAATAAAATACTGATTAAAAATGGAAGTGTTGCAAGTGTAAAAATAATTTAGCACATAGTCTTATAAGTCATAGGAAAACTTATAATTTGGAACATAAATTTCTGGGATACGAAAAATAGTTCTCTCCAAATCAGTACTAAACATCACTTCACTATTATAGATGTAATGTAACTAGAATTAATAATAAAATCTGTATTTTTCAAATATGAGACAAAATACTTCTTACAATTGCCTGTATCACAAACATCACTAACAAAAACAATCATGTACATCAAAATGAACCAAACTTTAAAAAATAATTTTTTTTGTTTTGTGGGCTAATTAAGGAGAAAAGATTGTTGCAAGTGATTCAAAGAAATATCTTGTAATATACACTTTTATATAGAAACAAAATGAAAAACAATCTCTTTAGTAGGATATTTTCGGGATTAATAGAAAGCAGCTCAGTATATTACTTCCTTCAAGTTGATATACTCCACATCAAAATTAAATGCCTGTTTGTGATAACTTATCAACAACCTACATAATTAAGTAACTTGTACAAAAGTACAAGTCTGGATCATAACAGATAATAAATAATGAACTGGAGTTGAAAAATACAGTGCCAAAAAAAATTAAAAAGCAAAATCTTGGTTTGTACAAAATGTTTGTTCCTTAGAAAAATGTCTTATGGAATGAAAGAATGCAGGATAAGAAAAGGAAATCTACTTCTCAGAGTAAAGAAACAATGTATCGGGAGAAAGAAGCTTGTTCCTTACACGATATGGTTTAAACGACAAAAGTCAATGAAATATTGGAAAACTAATATGCCTAAAAACAAGTTTGCCTCAAATGTTTTTCCTCCACATTCCTCGTAATTTGTCTATTTTGGCTTGTAAAAAACAACAACATTTCAGATCTATCTACTACAAGTCACGACTCAATAACCTTTTTTGTTCAATACCAGGGTGTGTGTGTGTGTGTGTATATATATATACACACACACACACATATATACATGTGCATATATTAACCAAACAATAAAAATGCAAGGCCTATAAAGAGAACCAGTCTGTAACAGAAAAAGAAAAAAAATGTGATGTACATAAAAAAAAGGTTCATATACTAAACAAACAGCTTCTTTATAGGAAGTCCATTCCACACAGTAACACACACAAGCTTTACAGAATACAGAGGCCTGTTGCTTGCAGTAAACAAACATACAGTCTGTAAAGTAAGCTTCTTTTTTACAGCAAACAAACACAGGGTATGTACAGAACGATGTTTCTTACATTACACAAAGACAGGATGTGTAAAGAAATCTTTCCTTACATTAAAAAAACACAGGGTTTGTACAGAAAGATGTTCCTAAAATTAGATAAAGATAGGATCTGTAATGAAATCCATCTTTATAGTAAACAAACACAGAGTTTGTACAGAAAGATGTTCCTTACATTACTCAAAAAAAAGATAGGATCTGTAAAAACAAATTCATCCTTATAGTAAACAAATATAGGGTTTGTACAGAAAGATGTTTTTTACAGTACACACAGATAGGATCTGTAAAGAAATCTTTCCTTATAATAAAAAAACAAGGTTTGTACAGCAAACATGTTCCCTGCAAAGTATGCACTGTCATAAAAAATGAGCCCATTTTTTATGTTAAGTAAAAACAGAGTTCTTACTGAAAGCTTTTTTTTACAGTAAATAAACATGGTAAGTATAGAGGGATTTTTTTGAAGAAAAAAAAAACAAATCCTTATAATAAATAAACTTATGGTTTGTATAAGACAAGTTCTTCAAAGTAAGCAACAAACACTCTGTGCAGCAAGTTTGTTCCTTACATATAAAGATACTAGCAACAACTATATATATATATATGTATATATACACACACACATAATCCTAACAGCTTTGACCACTAACATATGTGGCAAATTTAACTTAATATTACTTTCACTATTACAAGCATATGTGCATCAAACCTGAACAGTACAAAAAACAACAACACTGCCTTTTATTTTTTGAAGATTGTAGTCTTTGGTCTTATCTCATTTCAATGATAGTGCTATTTTAATTACTTGAAAAAACTTAACATTCTCTCTTTAATGCTTCATGTGTGGTCAAGCTGGACTTTGTCTAGGGATTTAGAGATAACTTTAAAAGAGATGTTTAAATGGCTGAAACTATGATGCTGTAGCTACAGTTTTCACAGAGATAGATTAAAAATTAAGGTTGATAAATAAAAAATTAATATAACTTTGTATTTATCTATGGAGTTATCACTGATTAGTGGCCTAATCAAAAACATTATTGAAAGCTTGGACAAACAAGGTATAGATATAGTTTTAGCATTAGTATATTTGACCAATAACAAGCTTTTTTTTTAAGTGTCTCATAAATAAAACTGTTATTAAATGAATTGATTTATGGTACATAATATTTTCCAAATTCTATAAATTCTAATAGCTAAATTTTTGAATGATTTTATTATATCCTAAACATTTTTATAGCAAGTCAAATATTCTATATGAAAAAACTGATGAATTATCTAAATTGATTTTATTCTCATTTTCCCATTTACTCTTGAAATAGATTTCTATTTGTAAGATTCTGGGTGTCATGCTATAACATTTCAATTACCCACAAAATTCAGTTAAGTATTTTATCAATGTTTTTTTTTAATTAATTAAAAAAACCAACATTTCTATATGTTATAGAACTCTTTCCACAATTTCATTCTTTTTCCATATTTTTTAACAATCAATTAATGGTTCCTCAAAAGTAGAAACAACTGTAACATACTGGCTTGAAAACCAGTTTGCAGATTACAAAAAGACAATTTAATTAACAATAAAATATTGTTAATGATAAAGTGCACTGTACAAAACTGTTTGAGAAAACTGAGCACTGTGATTTTACCACTTTATTGTTACACTTAAAACTTAATGTAAAGTTAAGTAAATAATTCACACTATTATTTTTACAACCATTGCAACTGAACACAATTCAATAAAAAGCCTAATTCAAAACAAGAAATATTATAATACACATATATTTAAAAAAAATTTTCATATACACTGTAAGATAAAAACAAAAATTAGTGTAAGTGAAAAATAATATTCAAATTGTTTTCTTTTGAAAATAATTCAGTATAAATTTTAAGATGAAAAAAAACAAACCTAGATGAAATAGCTTATCCAAATCACTTAAATCCACATATAATGGTATACAGCTATGCAATGTAATAGATAAGATTTGTTTATTTTAGATCTTCAGCAAAATTTTGACACTCAGCACTGTTCTCAGTAAAGAAGTACAGCTACATAATTTTGATATGATAAAAGAAAACTTTGTGCACTGGGTATAAAAATTAACACTAAATTACAACTACTACATGTAACTGCCAGCAGATGGAGCTATCAACAAAAACAAGTAACTTATACACTAATCTGTTGCTATGGGTTACATCTGTGATAAAGAGTATACATAATAAGGTAATGGCTACTGAAACTTGACAGGTGAAGATCTGCAAGATGCTGTTGGAGATGTGATGGAAGAGGAACCTGTAAACATTGAAGAGTCCATTGCACAAGAGTTAGAGCTTGAATGCCCACCTGAGCTAGCTCGTGTACGTAAGGCCGTTATGGATGATAATATTGAGGGAGAAGATACAGACTGGGATACAATACTAGGTGATATAGGCCTTTTGCTTTCTTCTGTAATTAATCTATAAGTTGTTGGAGTTCCAAGTTTCACTGGACTTGCAGTCTCTGGTAGTTCTCTACTGTCAATACTTTTGTCACATCCAAAAGAATCAGTTTCATTGTGTTTGCTGGTAAGCAAGGTCTCCATTTCTTGCTCTCCTGAGGAATATAGTTTCATTGCAGCAGCCAAGTCATGAAGAACTTCAGTTTCCTTTTCTTCCACCAGATTGAACTGCTGGTTAAAAAGCATAAAGTGAGAGAAGAGAGAGTTGAGGTGGGCATGAAAGTTAAGGAGAACTACTTCCTTGAAATGAGCATGGTAAACATGAGCCACAACATGAAACAGCAATCTGTGGATTTTCTTCACTATAGACTCAAAAGAAGCTGGAAACTCTTTATCTGAAAACACAGAAGTACACGTTAACAAACAAAACTTTATCAACTCTGCATCCATCAAAGAAAAAATATTTAGATTTACAATGAAAAAATATTTGAACTCACTATATCAGAGTGAATTTGAGAGATAAAAACATTATAGTGAAACACCTTTATTACAATAGCACTTTTGTCATCTTGATCTCCAAATTTTAAACTAAAGTAAGTAAATGTGTAAAAATTGGAATGACAAACTGAAATTTTAATTAGAACTTCCTTTGGGTTTGATTTAATATTAGAAAATGTTTAGGTGTCTTCTTCAAGTTCTTGGAAAACTGACACAGGCATAGGAACAGAAGATAAGCCTTCCAGGTTTTAAAGGGCAATATTTTAGTCTATTAAGTCAACAAAACATACAGGGCTAAAAGGTTATCAATTCAGGGTAGAACATTAGCTCTCTGTTCATAAGTTAACATATATTTTTGATTGAATTCCTAAGAGTCAAAATAACTAAACTCAGGCTACAACACATGCAGCCAGACAGATAAGCCATAATTGTATAAATTTTATAACAATTAGTTTCTAATGTATCAGCTTAACCTTTGGCTTACTCAATACAAACATCAGCTTTAAAAGTTATACATGAACATTAAATCATCTGAAATCCTGCTCCATTACTCATTGTACCTAGTTGAAAGACAAAATATAGAAAATAAAGGAAACTATTTCAAGGTCTAAACATTGTTTATAGGAGCATCTTTTTACATGATTTTTTCTTTTTTTTTAATGTAAATAAATATTTACCTTAGCAAATTATTTTCCGAGTAACATGCATCTGTTACTTGAAAAGAAATTTCTCTAAAAAGACCAATTTTTAAATTATTATTTTAGTCCATGTTGTAACCATGCAAGTAGAAATCTACTGGGTTGTCAATATTCATGGAAGCAAATATTTTCTGAAGAAATTAATCTGTTATGAGAGTTATTTTTGGTGTTATGTCAAAATTACATAAATTATACTAATATATTTTACTTAACTTTAGACAATAACTAAGCTGGTGGTCAGAATTTGTTTAAAATTTTCAAGATAAATTTTCAGAAAACTTACCAAACTTTGTGGGAAATATGGATTCGTCATTTACAATCTTCTGTGTAAATGTCATCACATAATCCACATACTGAGTTGCTGCTAATCTAGATTTTTTTCCTTTTTCATCAAACCAAAGATACTGCCTAAAAAATAAAGATGTACATCACTATCAAACCTATGTTGGAAAAAGATATGTAATCAAAGCTACGTATGAAAAACACTGTCTGAGTAACCAAGTTATGTCTGAAGAGTACAGATCTGAATCTTTCTCCAAACAACCTAATAAATAGAGAACTACATCACCTTCTGAATTATCAGTGATGTATGAAGAATAGAAATCTCTTGAAATTTATCTACAGAAACCAACAGAGCCAGCCCTAGAGAAAATTGTGGCCTGTGCAAACTTTGTATTTGGCATCCTATAAAATTGACAAGAAATGCTAACTGTAATGCCAATTTTGGCAACTCTTTGAACAGGCACACTATGTGAGGGGCACACATTGCCTACCTTAAAGGCTGGCCCTGGAAACCATAAAAATACTAAAAGAGAAAGATGTTTTACTAGTGAATAAGATTTTTACATCTGAGTGAAAACATTTTTTTCTAACACTCGATAGTTCTTGGGTTTGCTATCAACTTGGTAAACACTTTATTCTCACTTCTCGTATATATATTCAGAATTTGTATTCACTCATTTTGGTCGCTTGTTTAGGTGCAGCACCCTATCACATACAATTTCCAAGTATATGTCTCTAATCTAAACACTTAATTCAAAGTAGTTGTTTTTTTATCATTATGTTTTTTTTATTTGTAATAATCTATAAGATTGTAATAAAAATGAAGGGAAGAGTAAGCACATTCAAACAAAGAACACTGAGCATTTCTGAATGGTCCAATGCACGCCATGTCAACAGGAGAGCTTGCTTATGCAGGCTAATGACAGCCTATCAATAAAGTGACAGACTGGCTCTGTAGAAATGAGAAGTTGCAGGAGGTGATGTACATTGATTTCAGTTGGTTGAAAATGTAGTCATTTATAGAATGTACTTCATCTGTCCAAAAAAGATGGTTCCGGCTGATACGAACTGTTAGTTTTAAATAACTTCTTTTATGGTTTATAACTTCTTCATAAATATATACTTACATAATTGCAGAGAGTATATTTAATTTCATTGCTACTTTCTGAAATCAATTAGTCATATTTTGATTGCAATATTTAATATTCTTTTGTTGTTTTCTCCTGCAAGTTATTCACAATATGGTTAAAAACCTTCCTGGTTTGTTGATAATGCTGCTTTGGAGCTTAAAATTATTGTCTTTTTTCACTTACGAAAATAATTAATACAAGTTGCCAAATAAAAAGTGGCAAATAAAGCAACAAACAACAATAATAATAAAATAGTTATTTTATTAAAGAAGAAAATAAAAACTCACCTATTACAAGGACCTGTCATATCTGAGCAGCCAGACATTGTACAGAATTCTGATATTGTTCCATAGATTAGGTTGACATGATCAAAAAATGATAATGCTGGAAAGAAAATTCAATATATAAAAAAAATTGTCAAAAGCATTCCCAAAAATCTGAATATATTTCCATATTAAGAAACCTAAATGATGAAACAGGTGAATTAATCAAAGTCTTTAACAATTTTATGCTATATTGAATTTAATTAACAAAACATGAGTCACTTTAGTTTGTGTAGGTGTAACAGAGATAAAATTAATCATTGCAATGAAAACTACCTTAAATATCACCCAGAATATCAATAAGATAGAAAAACATGGAGATCTTTAATGACTAAAACTGTCATGTATTTATTCAGTCACCATTATTCCATATGTCTGTATATTTAATTAGCACAGACCTTTTTCAATCAACTGTTGTGTACTTTGCACATTACAAGATCCTACTCTGAAACAAACTATGAAATGAATCTGGAATTTAAATTAATCTCTTTAGAGAGAGTTACATTAGGTGAATTGCTCATGCAAAGTCCTTCTATTCCACAATTAAAAACAAAAATAACATAAAAGGCAGGAATGTTTGACTTCCATAGAAGAGTACCTATAATGTTGAGTCATATGAGTAAAAGCAAGGGAACGAGAATGGTTCCAGTAGTAAAAACAAACAAAAAATAACAACAATGATAGTCTACTAGTTGTATACCATAGGTAGTAAAGAAGGCTAAACATTTTGTTGCTGGAAGTAACCTCAGAACACAGTGGTTAATTGTAGTGATTCTTCTAAGAAATAAAAACAAGATAATTTACATGGCTTTTGGTCTACAAAAGTGATACTGGTCAGAGCCATGTTTACAGGCCACTTCCAGTGCACATAGCCAAATGGAAAACCAACTACCAAGCACTCTACAAATAGTTTCTTGGATCTGAGAAATGAAAGTATGCCATCACACTGGATGAGGCATATATCTACTGGACAGTTTATCATCACCCAACCTGTGATAAAAAGTTTCATGACATGAAAGTTTTTTCCAATGGTTTTGCAGTGTTTGCAGGTTACACTTAATAATAGCAGGTTAAAACATCTGGAGAATCATATGATATCATCATATACTACACTGTTTCAGATTAACATGCTGAAGCCACTATATTATGAGGTAATACAATAATTTTATGGATTGGATGCAAGTATGGCTCAAACAAGATAAGAGCATTAGGCAACATGTTAAAGCATGCAAGCAATAATGGAATTCATGCTATACAGTTAGGAGACTACATCCATGGACTTTATGTATTTGAGTTGCTTAACCTTAGGAGCATGGGTGGTTGTCAAAGTGTGCATGTCTCAATATTATACATACTGCTATTCAACATGATATTGTGAATTGGATGTCAGGGTTATCAACTTTCATGTTAAACTACATTGTTGACTTTGCAGCAGTTCATGTTAGAGAAAATATCAAGTACAATATAAAGGGAGACTGAAAAAAAACTTTAAACATGCATATAGAAAGTTGTAGAGGTTATGCAAATTCAAACTGCATACTGTATGATTGATAAAAGTATTTCTATTCTTCACATGAACATCACTTTGAACTACAAATTACCAGAGTCAGACTGACTTCACCATTTCACAGACATATCTTTAGTACAAAAACTTTATTAACAGAAATTTTCTTACAACAGGAACATACTATTTATTCAAAGCTTGTTAAATTTTTTTGAAGATACATTCCTTAAATTCAGAATTAAAGTCAATATTACTTCTCCAATATAGGCTTTGCATGTTCAGTTAAAAAAGATCCCCTGAATTAACTGTACATACATTATGGAAAGAATTCAGCAGAGAGGAGGGAAACAAGATTACCTCTGTCTATCACACCAAAGCCTCTTGTAGGGAAAATTGGGATGCAGAGTAACAGTTCAGGAATACTATCAATAGATGTATCAATGTGAACACCTTCTGTACAACAAAGCACCTTATTAGTGACTAAACCAAGGAAAGCAAGTAAACTAATAGTCTATTGGGATAAAAATTAAAACAAAATGGTAGTCAAGAGGTTGAATTTATAGGGGTTGCTATCAGAGGTCTTAAGAGTAAAAGGTTTTTAAGTGGCAGTTGTTATAGACCACCTTATGAAGCAGATGGTATCAATAACAAATTGTATAATGAGACTAGGTTGTTACTAATACTGGTGTGAAGCCTTAATTTCATACAGACTGATTGAAATGTATGGATTCAAACAGTGAGAAATAAAGATGAAGTGATTCAGAATGGATTTTTCTATGAAATCACCAGTGAGCAAACCAAATTCAAGAAGTATAAATCAATAGATAGGATGGAAGACTTAAAGAACTACAGGAAAATAACTTCCGATAAGATCAAACCTAAAAATTGACCTAGTAATGAGTATAGTCAGTTGAATATTCTTTTCCTACATAATAAAGATTAGAATGTGTTACTTTATCAATTGGGTACCCTCACCGTTAATGATATTTTTGGCTGTATTTGGTTAAAAAGAGGTTAGCAAATCAAAAAGGGCTTATGAGAATCAGTTGGCAGATAAATTTAAAACAAGCAGTAAAGGATTTGTTATGGAGGTTGAAATTAGGCAAAATGTCAAATAAGGATTGGGATCTGAAAAAAAGGTGCTGATGAAGCTTTTTGGTTTAGACTGTGTGTCAAAATTTAACATATATATATATATATTCTTTTTTTTGGCAATTGTCAAAATAAAAGGTTTTTACTTATATTTCTTAATAGTATAAATATATTCTATGTTGGTGTTGGGCTTAGGATTCTTCTACAGTAGGTGTCTGTGATATATTCGGAACAAGTTAAATGTATGTACAACAAATTCTTCAACACTATAGATATTATATGCATATCATAAACACTATATATGTATTTCTCTCCATCTTATCAAAAGTCCAATTAGGCCTATTCAATTACTTTAAAATTTCACTTGACAAGCTTCTCTATTACTATTGCACTAGTATTCTGTGTGTGATTCATTTACAATTGTGGCGCGAGTTACCGTAATTGTTTGGTCTTATTTTTTCTGAAGATCCTCCGTTCCTTTTGTCAAAGTGCACTCTGGCTGATTCAATCACTTTAGAATTTCGTTTTGACGGAATAAATTATTTTTCTTATCTCTGAACTACCGTTAGACTTACTCTAACATATTATACATTACACCTATGTTAATTGTTAGGCCTATCACTTCTAAGGTACTTAATTTCATGACAAATTTTTACTAGGCCTGAAACTTTACTTTTTTCTGCTATTATCCATCTGCTTTTAACTCTTATTATAACAAAAACTAAACAACAATAAAATATTCACTCACAAAAAGAAATTAATCAATAATACCTAAACTAAACAGTCTTTTATATAATGACACTATGAAATCACCAGTGAGCAAACCAAATTCAAGAAGTATAAATCAATAGATAGGATGGAAGACTTACAGAACTACAGGAAAATAACTGTACTTTTCAATATTATTTCCCCCTTCTGTTGTTACAAGAGAAGATCTTACCAAATACTCCTGTCTTTGAGCATATTTGAATTAACTGTAATCATGTAAACATAATAATCCACCAACAGTAAACAAAGAGACTGAAAGATTAGAAATAGATCAAGCACCAGGACCAAATAATGTTTTCCTCAATGGTTTAAAGGAGGTCAAAGATTAGCAAGCTTCTCTAATTCTTTTTTGGCAGGTCAAGAGATATTGGGCACATGACTGGGGATGGACTAGAGAGTTTCTACAGTTATTCATATTTTTAAAGGGGGGGTTATAATAGCTGCCCTAGAATTATTGGACACTTAGTCTCACTTCTATAGTAAAGCACAAAAGTTAGATTTACTAATGCAAAATTTTATCTTATTAATTTGTTAGCTTTTTTGTGGAGATCACTTGTTAACTGGACAACCGGGAAGGGTGTGGACATGATGTTTTTAGATTCTAAAAAAAAAAAAAACATTTGATATGATATCATACAATAGATTAGCAAATAAAAATTAGGGAAGAAGAATTAATTGGATTAAAGCATAGGGTTGCTTGGTGGAAGAAAGCAACCTTTTGTGTTTGAATAGGGTCTCAAACTAGACCCTCATTACTAGTGATGTGCCTCAGGGGTCAGTGCTTGGGCCCATTCTTTTTCTTACATTAACAATATTGATAGGAGCATAATTATCAAATGAATAAAATTTGTTGATGACATTAAATTTTTTAATATTTCTTATTCTATTGAGGATGTTGAGGTACTACAGACTGACTTGGATCAATTAGTAGGTTGAACAAATAGCTGGAAATTACCTTTAATTACAGTATTCCAAAACTTTTAAAGTGACGTCATGTTTTACAAGCAAGGAAATAATACATATATTCAATAACAATTGAACAAATTAACTTGGGTTATCATAATTTACATCAAATGTCTAATGTTGATGGTAAACCCACTAAAGAGCATAGTGGGCCTGCTTTTCTAAGAGAGGATATTGAGGAGTGCTACTAGGATGATTCATGTTATGGAAAGGTTATTTTTATGGGGACATCTTAAGACCTCTTAAGGTATTTACCCTTGAGAAAATAAGGGTTAGAGGTGATCTTATTGAAGTTTACAAGAATATTCAAGGAAATGATAGGCTAAAGGCACCTGATTTGTTTTGTTTTATCCTGAATACAGTAGGATGATATGACACAAGATTTGGAAAAAAATATTGTGATTAGTTGATGGAATGAGTTGCCATTAGAAGTTCAAATAATGGTATAGACAGTTTCATAAAAAAAACAAAATACAGTTTTCAATACTATTTTCAGGGGTTGGTGTGTAGGGATAGTCTTAAATGATCAAATAGTTGCTTGTTGTCTGTTATATTACATCAACATTTCTTATGAGGCTATCCATAAAATCTAAGAAATGTCTTAAATATGTATATCTGAAATGTCTTTTTGTTTTCTAGTTAAAAGGCAGAGATGAATTGAAAACACTGCCCATGTTTCAACAACATATTTTTGATTTAACATAAAATTGAAGAGACAATTCCCACAAAGCTGAAAAATAGCACAACTTTAAATCTGTATAAGTTCTGGGTTAGGTGAATTATGAGTTAAAAGTTAAAGACTGTGTGTGTTGTAATCTCTTCACTTTTATAAGTTCTCTATCTAGTTAAGTAACGTATGTACTAAAATTTACAAGATTTTCTAGTAGTAAGCTGATTTCTATATGTTGTAATCTAAATATGTTGGCACTTCTGTTATTTGTTAGTTGGATTATATAATTATAGTAAAAGACTTACTATGAGATGCCAACCATTCGTTGTAGTCTAACCCTGATGGAAGTTCTATCGCTTCCCTTAATAGAGTTTCCTGGATTGTTGTTTCCAGTACTGCAGGTTCCAAATATAATTTAGATTCTTCTTGACAGGGTGCTACTGCATCCTTGTCCTTTCGACGGGTTTTCCTGAACCAAGAAAGAGAGAAAGAGCAAAATGATTTTAATTACAATTAATACTGACTTTTTAAAGCGCTAAAACAAATATGTATAAATACTGTATTTTATACAAGCATAAAAGTAAATAACACCATCTATGTCATACTACTACCAATAAATACCTTACTTTATAGTGATCAAAACTTTTTTTAGTGATATCCAAAGAAGCTAAAATTGCATCACGTTTTATACATGACTGTTTAGGAAATAACACATATGTTTAATAACACTTAAACAAATAATTTAATTAAATTTGTTCACAATTTTTCTCATTTTTATTTACCAAACCACAACACAACTAACTTTCAACCATTAATTTTAGTTCAATAAACAGTGCTTCAAATACTTTACATGATCAGTAAACTATAATTCAAGTTGGAGAAATGCAGGGCTGAGAATATTATACAGGATAAGTCTTGAGAATCTCTCTCATAATTTTGTTTGCTGTTTTTGGATTACCGTGTGTGTGTGTGTTGGGGTGGAGGATCACTGAAAAAAGTTCAAAAGGCTTGTGCCCATGACTGTAAGGCAGTGCTTTTACAATACATTTCCCATTTGTAACCTAACCAATGAAGGTGTCTTTATTAACAAATGAGCTAACATTCACGCTTCTAACTTTTTTTTTGGAACTATGTGTGTTCCATATCATCTATAATATTCCACCTAGAAGGAAAAACAACAACCCTGATTTGCATTGCGACATTTACATTTTCCTTCTATTAACATTTTCTACCATTGGTCGTATTGATTGTATAACCATGTTAACAGCTGAAATGGTAAATTTCTGGGAAAAAAGCCTCAAATACAAAAATAAAAGTGTAAGTACTTTGCCTTCAAATAACCTCAAAAAAAATTATCAAGTTCAAAAAATTAAAACACAACCTTTAGGGTGAGAAAGAAAACAAAAGATTAATTTATAATGCATTTGCGATACCTAAGGCCTATAAGTAATATATTTGTACAAATGAACCTACAACAGAATGTACTGTAAACTAACTAGAAAATACTCACCTTTGTTCGTAACCTTGAATAACAATTTTCATTAAATTACAAAAAGTAAAAGTGCCTTTTTTCTTGTCGCATACTATGTAGTGTTTTACTGATATCATAATCATCATTCGTAAGTATAACTAACTTGGAACTACATTACCAATACTTGTGGTTGAAGATAGACCCTTCATCAGTATTAGTTGGTCAAAGAGCATTCCGTACATTATGAATTGATTTAATCTGTATTTTACTAAAGAATACCTTTTGGTAGTTAAGCCTGAGAGCTATAACACTAAAATTTATGGTTCCATCCCTGCGATAAGTACATTATCGATAGTCCCTTGTAGCTTTACACTTAAAAGAAATGAAATAAAGAAACAAAGACTAAAGAACCTTTAGCTGAAAAATTATTCTGAATTACCCACTTCACCATTTTCATATTGTTGGTTTAATTTATAAGTAGGATTAAAGTAGCAAGACATTTTATACATCTGTTTCACATTTCACTCAGGTTCACTGTATGTTAAACTACCAAACAGAAAGAGAAAAATAGCATGTTTTTGACCAACTTTAACCTAGGACACCAACTGTGTTCTAGGTTTAACAACTTTCTGTATTCTGCTGTTGGGTGTGACCTCTTGGTTCATCTGCCCAACTAGGATTGGCTGTGATCTGAAACATGGAACCAGAGTGGAGCTAGGTTCACCAGAGTATTCCAGAGCTACTCCACTCTTTTCTACCTTCTTTTTTACTTTTTGATACATTTTATATAGCTTGAATTAACAAAATAAATGATTATAAAGGTATATACACTAAACATTAAACTCCCCAAAAGTGTTTTCAGAATTATTTAAAGTACTTTAACCATTGATATAATGTGCAAAAAGAAAATACAGTATAAATAAAAAATATTTCACCTGTTGTTTTTGTGTGTTTGTTTGCTCTTAAGTGTAAAGCTACACAATGGACTATCTGTGCTGGGCCCACCATGGGTCTCAAAATCTGGTTTTTAGCATTATAAGCCTTCAGACTTACCACTGTGACACTGGGTGGCTTCACCTGCTGAAAAAGCTATTTTTTTATATTAATTTATAAACCAAAAACAAAAAAAAATCAAATTTCACATTCCTCATGCCATTTATTAAAAAAAATTTAATCATATGAACTATTTTAATTCTAAATAACATCATAAAAATATAAATACTGTTATCTTAGTTAGCCATAGGGTTTGGTTGTTCTGAAACTGGAGCCAGAGCTGGAGTACTAGTATGGAGCAGCACTGGAGCCACTACTGAGCTAGAGTTAGCAAACCCAGAGTATTGCCAACCATAGACCAAACTTTGAGTCACAGGGTTCGTAGTTCGATTCCCGTTGCCACAAAAACGAGCTTTGCACTATGAAGCTGTAGTGTAGGTGCGCTATAACAATTATGGTTAAAATACCACCATTCTCACACACAAGAGTAATCTAAGAATTAATTGTGGTTGCTGTTGACCAGCTGCTTTTCCTCCAGTATATCAAATCAAAATTAGGCAGATAGTCCTTGTCTAGATTTGTAAGAATATTCTAAAACAAATAAATCCTTTATTATCAAAGGAATATTTGTTAGGCTTCACATAGCCAGATAGGGATATGTACAAACATATTCGTTTAATTTAAAGCAAGAGTAAAATAAGTGAAACAAAACAGGAGTTCTTACAAGTTACACACTTGTAGTACAGAATGACTATACTAGCAAACTTAATACAAGCTGTGAACATGGCCGTACCGTGGGTAGTGCGGGTTTAATTACAGCAATATAAGAAGAAATCCGCTTTCTGCTTCTATTTCCACCTTCTCCCAATTCAATCACGTTCCTGCCACTTTAACATTTAACATCTCACTCATGATCAAAACTCACGATTTTCCGTGTGCAGCCCCTCACTGCTATCAAGTTCGGGACGAAGAGAAACATTCGTTTTTGAGCGCCCTCGGTAGTCTCCCGAGGTTCCTAGTAAACCCCGGGAGATCTCAAATCGAGATAACTGTCAAGATAAAACAAACAATCAAACATCCGCACGACACTGCTTGTGAATAATCAAATATATCTCTTTCTTCCAAAGCATAATTCGTTACTTACCGATAACTTATTTACTTTTATTTCTTCCATAACTAAGTACAACCGCAAACACCACAATTGGTATGAATACGACACTGGTAAGCTTAAAGGATTTTTTTTTTACAAGGTGTAGTCTACAAATTGCACCAAATTGTGTAAAGATCTGGTGGGAAAAACGCGAAATTTTTCACTTTCTACGTAAAAGATACAGGAAACCTCAGCAGTATTTAGAGGGATTTTTAATTTTGTTATTGTTTGACTAGTACGTGACTAATATGGGGCTTGTAGTTCAGAATGACGACACTAGCAAACTAAACAAGCTTGTTGTTTTTGTTATACAATACGGTAGATAGTCTGACATTATTAATGTCATATAGGCTACTTGGCAGTTATCTCTTACTAATTGCCCTACTACAGAGTTGTGTAATATAGTTTTTTTTTTCATTTAGTTCTGATCTTTTTAGTCGCGGCATAGCGACTCATAGAACGGGTTTGAGTTTTTTTGTTTTTTTTTAAGTACAAACTTTTAGCTCATAGCTCCGTCATCTCTTGACTGATTTGAGATATAATTATAATTTTGGACTGAGTAGGTAAAACTCTTTCGATTGATGTAGTTGACTACGCCCAAGGTCTCATAGATTAATTTACTCTAATCCTCCCTAAACGAATTTCAATTTGAGGGTAGGCTGGTAAAGATCCTGATGAGTAATAAAATTGAATCGGCTTTTTTGCTTCTTCTTAGATTGGGATTTCAAAAATTTACTATAGACATAGTGTGTTGCCTTCAGATGTGGTGGATGCAGTTAATTTGAGGGAGTTTTAGGGAAGGCTTGATAAATATTTGAATTATAAGGACTGGTTTTGAGGGTTTTATTTTCATTTTAAGTTTAGTTTATTGGATGGGACAGCTTAGATGGACCAACAGGTCCCTTGTTATTTTTAAATTATATGCATATACGTATAATGTAACTGAAATCATTTTAAAGTTGTAGCAACATGTAGCTACTTTATACTTTAGACATTTCCAGTTTTATTTCTCGTGTTTTCAAACACAAAGTGTTAACTAGGAATTGTGATTGGTTATCAAGAAAGGGTTGTCACACCCCATTATAAGGATTTGTTAGAATATCCCAGAAATAAAGATGCCTGATTAAGAACTACCTTCAAAAGTATGAAGATTTCTTTCAAGACAGTAGTTTATATTTGGACTATGAATCTATTCGTTGAGCGATTACTTGTCTTAATGTCGTATTTTGATGAAGATTAATTAAGTTATTAAAGAAATCTGCAACAATGTCCACACAACCAAGCGGAATCTGGCTTTATTTTAGAGGGATGAACAAAATTTCAGAGATGCATGTCAGTACACTTTTTTTTAATCAGTCAATATTTCTACAGGAATGAGGAAGTATTTTCCAGAATGTAGAAAGTGCCCACGACAAATCTGAAAAATCTATATGAACCTTCAAAGCTACAAGTCATAGCAAACAGGAACTTTTTTAATTAGTAAGTTTAATTTTTAGATGTGAAGAGGTTCTCACTACTGTGCGTATTTTTTAAAAGAAAATAATACAGATAACCTAGTAACAAGAAAGTGTACCGTCGTACTAGAGAATACCTTGAAAAGTTATTACAGAAAGTATGAAAGTCGAACCTAGGCATTTTTCATCTCGAATGAAAAATGGCTAGTTTCGACTTTATTTATATCTTAGGTTTATCTCAGCTCTACCTCCTAATCCCATGAACAAATTTGCGCAAAATTTGGAATGTGTATTTTGAATTTATGGAGCATAAATTCTTTAACTTTCTATTCGTCTAATTTTAGTGCTTTCAAAACGGAGAACAATTTGAACTTTTACTTAACTATATCTTACGCCTATAG